CGCCCGTATCGTGTTCGCCGTTTGTCTCTTGAAAACACCGAACTGCACTGCCGTTGCTGCTCTTCGTCCTGTTGGCGCCTTCAAAATTCACAGTGCTGCGTAGGTCGCGCAGAGCCTGCCCTGCCACAGTGCCTAATCCGAGTGTACCGAGGATGGCCGAGCCTGGCTTTGCATCCGCAGTCGCCTTCACGCACTCCGCGTCGAACAGAGAGGTCATGCACTCTGAGGCCACTCCTCGTGCTTGAACTTCGAACAGCTTGCGCCACTCCCACATGCCCAGTCTGCCTCTGGGCATGTAACGCGCGTCAGGCCTCTCCCAGTCGCCAGCGCGCCAATTGCACCGGTGAACGGCGTCCAAAAGCGTCAATGCGTTGCGATACGCGAGCTCTGGTCGAGGGTCAGATGAGCAGTCTTGGAGTAGACTGCCTATATCCTCATGATCGTCCACGGACGCCTTGAGCAGGCGGAGGTTGCTGACGGCGTCGAGCGCGGTGAGAAGAGAATGCACATTCAGCCTAGCTTGGAAGCCTGCATGGTCCGGCGTGCAAGGGCAGCCTTGTATCTGCCCCAACTCCCCAATCAGGGTCCAGCGGAGACTTGCCACCGCCGTGTGCAGGGTGGTATCTCCTTTGAGTAAGGCTTCGGCGCCTCGCTCGCCTACTTGCTCCGCAAAGCTCGGGAATACGCTGACGATGAAAGGCATATATTTCCATCGTGCGTCTTGGTTGGTGTGGCTTTGGGAGAGGTTGTCCGCCGAGTTTTCTGCGGACACGAGCATCTGCAAGAACCGGATGGAACCCACTGCGGCGTCGACGGAGTTGACGCGGTCAAAGACACGCGCGAGCTTGATCATGATGGCCTTGCTGTTCCGAAGATTGACGAAGAAATCCGACACGCCGTCCTGCTCCATACTGAGGAGACAGCGAGCGAAGTACCGTAGGGTGCCCGGTGATTTCACCATCTGCGCTCGCGCTCGCGCCGACAGATACGATAGTTCTCGTCCGGCTACAAGCTTTCCACCATACGGTAGATCAAGGGCGTGATCGACGATGAAACCAAGCTCTTCGCTGGATTTATGGCTCATGATGCCACCCAAGAGGGGACGTAGGACCCGAGCCGATAGCACGGGATCTCCCAAGAATGCTATGACCTCGCGGGGGTCCAGGTCTCGAAAAGCGACCTTCTTGTTGGCGATCCAGCTTCCCACCGCGTCCACCACATTTATGAAGTATAGCATGACGCATGCTACGAATGTGACAGTGCCGTAAAACACGCCGAATAAGATGAGGCTTAGCGGCGTGCGGTAAGGGCACTTGGGGTCGAACAAAGGAATGACGCTGGCAACGACGTAGAGAACGGCTGCGACAGCGGAGAATGCGGCGACAAGGATTGCGGGAATGCAGTGGAGGGGGGCTAGAAAGAGAGATAGCCCCACGAGAAAGAGAACCACAGCCGAATGCATAAGCCCGATGACGCACGTCGCGAGCTGGTCCACGCCATAGTGTGTAATAGCCGCGTACGACTGGAGGCAGTTCAGCGCGTATCGTTCAAGGGACTCGGCCATGGGTGGCGTGTCCATCCCCATCGAGCCACTGAGCCAATCCTGAGTCATCATCGCCAGCAAAGCGGATAACAGCGAGAACACCACCGACAGAGACCAGAGTGCGCTGACGGCTATTGCAGTTGGGGTTGGGCGGAATGGCTCGACATCGATCGCTGACATCGTTGTCGCATTGGACGTAAGCACCGCTTGTGCTAGTAGGGCCAACGTGTCCAGCCTCTGGACGCCAGTATCGGGGGAAATGCTTTTATAGCTGGTTATGAGAAAAATGGCAACTGTCGTGGCAAAGAGACCGGCCTGCCAGGCATGATTAGCGACCAGAATATTGAGCAGGATATAGACATACGAAGTTTACGGACCGATTCATGTTCGACTCGGTCGCGCGAACGAGTCCTCCTCTCTCTCGTGCCACCTTATTCAGAAATAGCCTCCAGAAGCGATCCCCCTCCGCGGCCAAAGTGCTCGAATCGTCGAGTGATTGCTGGTCAGCCGAAAACCGCATTGCCGCGTGCAATTGTGCGAGTCGATTGAAACGAGGGGAGAAGTGTGTATGCACAGATGTGCGTCGGTGGTAGAGAAATGCGGGTTGCGGGAGGCCGGATAATCCACGCGCTTACTTAAGAAGTATATTCGGGGTCAAGATTGTTGCGGGGATGCACAGCGCTCAACGTGCAATCCTATGTTCTACTGTAAGAGTATCATAGTTGGGACTCATACGCGGGGATTCTGCTATGCAGTCGGGTGTCAATTCCGCCGAGGGGGTGCGAGCAGTCAAAAATCCATGTATCATGTCTACAGCATATGGGCAACAATTGCTCCCAAGTGGGTAGATTGGGACAAATTTCGACAAAACTCTTGGAGCGACCTCCAAGAACCTCCGTACGACGCACAGCAGGCTCTACTGATGCAGGAACATGCCCACTATGTCGACCACACAGAAGGTATGCACAATTGTCTCCTGTAGCCGGGAAATCGAAACTATGTGAGAGAGAACCCCGAACACCCCGGAGCCCACGAAGCAACGTTCTACTACAGCACCTTCGAAGTGCCACAGGGTTCTCGGGGGCCGTGTGGGACCCAAAGAATGAGGACAGCACAGTCACCACGTGGTATCTATAAGCCTTCTAAGTACACAGCACTGTGAATTTTGAAGGCGCCAACAGGACGAAGAGCAGCAACGGCAGTGCAGTTCGGTGTTTTCAAGAGACAAACGGCGAACACGATACGGGCGAGGCCGCTTCTCACAACGTCTCTGACACGTCCACGAGCCTACAAAGCACGGATGGATGAGCAGATGATGGGCGCTGCGGGCCTGAGAGCGAGATGTCCCGCCGGGCACCAGTCCGCGAGTCGATGCCAGAATACGATCGGCGCGATGGACGGTGCTCAAGCTGCCCCGTTCTTACTACCCGGGACTCATGGACACAGCCTCAATGATCTTGCACGACTTTTGTATAACTTTGTCTCGATGCCATGGACCCGCCTGTTCTCACTTCTTTTCTTGTCGTACCACACCCTGCGAGCTAGGGAATTCATCCCTGCTTGTCGATTCCCTCGCCTTCTGGCATCTCCGTTCGCCGTAGCTCCCCTGTTCTTGTCTCTTACGCACAAGTCACCCTCGTTCTGTGATCTTGTAGTATGCCCACCACGCTGTAAATATCCTCTATATCGAATCATATCTTGGTGCTCGCGTATTGACATCTGGCGCAATCAGAAGGCGCCGTACAGTTCGGAGGTACCGATAATCTCTAATGCCTGACAGGTCTTTGCAACCCGCCCCTGTTGGAAGATGCGGGCGTTTGTATGGGGACTCGGAGCTCTTTGTCGCACTGCTCTAAGCTCCAGAAGCCTTCGAAACCCCGTCGAGGACTGACAAGGCGCATGCAATTCGTAAGTGAGCGGACAGCGATGAGGGACAGGTGGATTGGAAAGGTACAATCGACACGACTGGAACAACACGGCACTCGTAAGTATGAAGACAAGATAAGCATGCGATCAGATGGGGGAGGGGGGGAGTAGTGAATCGAGGAGACACGAAAGTCCGTGTGAGACAAAGAGACTACTTTGTGATCGCGGGGGGAGGCAGCTGACACGCATCGATATCGGGAACACTTTCTCTCGGATTGCGCGACGTATTCCCTTTCATTGCTTGACGGGGTGGTTTTGCAAGACAGACAATCGGTATCACGTTGTTGGAAAGTTGTA